ATCCACACTACTGAACTCTCGCTAGACTATGAAGAGGGTCTCAACCTGAATAGAAAGTATCACACAAAATGCACCTGAGTGGGCATGAGTACCTAAACCTAAACAGGGTATACCTCAACCCTCATAGCCAGCTACACATCCAACCGCATATACGCCCCCTAACCGTCGACTCTGAGACTCAAGCTCATGTCACGGAAACATAAAAATATATTTAAATTCCGTTCCTAACCATATACAAGAAATCCAGTAAGTCGTGCGGTGTATTCAACCGCACTAACTCATATATATAAGGAGGATTTTATTTAATAACCCGTGTCCTTATTCCAAAATAGGTAGGACTTAGCAGTTCTGTTTTTAAGCTAATCCAAACCTAGTATGACACCGTCCCATACCAGTGCATACAATCCCATCCATCCAACAATTGATAAAGTATCGACCACAATAATAACTATATCAACAATTCCATATTAAGCATATTAAAATATATCATCAAACATGCTTAAATAATACCAACAGTGGATGAAGTATTGACAACCTATATATCAGTATCAACTACTCCATACTAAGCATATTAGAGTATATCAACAATCATGCTTAAACAAAAACCATTGCATAGTAGCCATTATTAGCTCACACCAACAGTATTTATAATTAACTATCAACTCCCAGTATTCACATAATTAACAGACCTGAAGTAGCAGTACCTCATCAATTAATTTTGTGGTGAGCATAAACACTATAAGCCATTAACATATTTTAAAATCCCAGTCTGACCACCAATGCACTACCTGCTAGAATCTAACGATCAACTAGTCTCTAAACAACCTAAGCACGACATAGATTTTTATGATGCTTATTCAGCACCACCATACCAAATTAGCAGTGATTAAATCCCTCTCATAGAATTTTCTAACTTATGGATGACAATTAATAAGCTAAATCCTCACAGTATGGAAGTTCATTAAAACTTTGTATACAGATTTACATAATTGACAACTAAGAGTTTGTTCATAAATTAACTGTCCGTTAGAGTTTAAAGTTTACTCTGGACAACCCTTTAAGCATCCATTACAACACCTTTTCTCCTTTGAAACTTCATACAACCCAACAACCATGGCTTCCTTACTAAAAATTGAAAAACAAAACAACAGAACGTAAAAAAAAACTGGAAAAACAAAAGAGGAGGTGGCTCAAAAACCCTTGGAGCCGCCTCCAAAGGCCTTGGAACCGCCTCCAAACCAAGAAGAGCCGCCTCCAAATCCAAGAGGAGTCGGCTCTCTCCCTCCTCTGCCTCGTGTTCTCCTTTCCGGCATCGTCTATTCCTCCGACACTACGCTGTTTAGGCTCCTATAAACTATAACTAGATCCTAGTAGGTTCCAACCCTTGTTTAAGTCCTTCTTACATTTACTAACATGGATTTAAATAGAAAGCAATGCAGGAAAGTTTCAAGTTTACACAGTTTATCAAATAAAACTTACGCCCAACAGTTTAAAATCATGGAAACAGATATTATATATTGTTTTTTTTTTTTTTTAAACATGTAATTCATCCTGGAACTATATAAGTATGCAAAGAACACGAAGCCTAAAGGAGAGAGTTAAGACAGAACTTGCCTTTGAGATCTTTGTTCAAAATCTCTACACCGTCTTCTAAGATCTCCGGCGAACTCAAATATTGTAAAACTTCCTCTGTTTCTCTCTCTGCTATTTCCACAGACGTGTTTTGGTTTTATTTGTTTTTTAAAAACCCTAAACAGACGTCTACTATATATTTATAGAGTTATACCAAATCCTAAATTAATTCAAGCCCCAACTGAAATCCTAACCGGCCCAAAGAAACTTAATTAAAACCTACGTCGGCTACAAACGTGACTTCTAAAACAAAACCCTAATTAAATACAATTAAATCACGACAATTAACAATTAAATTAAAACAATTAAACCATTATATTAAATTAAATTAAATTAATTCAATTAAAACAACTAAATTAAACCACTTAAACAAAAATAAAGAATTAAATACAACAATTAAAAAAACAAGTCATAATTCAAGTAATAAAACATTTAAACACGTCATGCAACTTAAACACCAATTTAAACAAGTAACAAACACATGATTTAAACAAGTAACAAATATATCAAATAAACAATTAAATAATTAAAAATTCAATTAAAAGAATAAATTGAATACCAGGACTATCCTTTTGAAATTAGAGGTATTACAGAGATTCTCTGATGTGTATAGTAGTCCGTTTGCACTATTAAAAAAAAAAATGGTTATTGATATTTTTGCATAATTGGTCGTAAAAGAAGAGAGTAAATACATATTTGTATAAATGACTGTTGTGAACTTTGTTTTTTTTTTTCAAACTTTTCTTTTTCCTCTCTCCAATTTGGCTTGGTTGTTTAATTTCATAGTCTGGCTTATCCTTTTAAATTTCTTCTTTAGGTGTATGCATTACATGTGTATTGTGCCCCCTAGGTTCTTCTTTTTTCTTTTTCTTTTTTGGATTCTTTATGTACAAAAACAACGGTCTTAAGATACCAATTTAATATGTAAATGGAGTGGAAAAATCAGAACTTTCATTTAGGAAGATGCCCCATTTTGGTTAGGGCATTACAACATTTACATGCATATAGCACAAGTTTGAAATGCTATGTTAATCTTGTTATATATTTGTTTTGGAACTTTTTTTTGTATACTTTGGTGGACGAGCTGACTTTCCCTGTGTAGTCTATTTTAACATAAATCTTCATCTGGGTTTATATATCTACGGCTGGAAGTTTTTGGACTTGTCACCTAATCTATAATGAAGTTGACTTTGTGTATATATCAATATATATGTTGGTGATGTTGCAATTCTAGGCTTGCTATCAAATCAAGGTTTTATGATTGAAGGAGGCTCCATTCTTCTGCCTCCAGTTTCAAATGCTGTATCTTTGTTCTGGCTTTTGGAGTAGGGTATTTGCTTTTTTGCTGTCTCGAGAACGTGTAGAATTTGCTTCTCGGGATGATTAGAAAGCGGAGAGCAATTAGGAAGTGTTGTTTCATTTAATTCACACCAATACCCTACGTGACCATGCTGTGTTATATGGGCTTGACCTTCTAATGTGAATGGTATTGATATGATTCTTAGATGCTTAAAATGTTTGCCACTAGGTCTAGGCTTTAAGATCCACATCTGGCTGGACTATCAGGTTGCAGATTAGATATTTATTGATGGCTCGATGCCTCAGTCGACTTCCTGTTATGAATCGTTATAATTTCGCTTTTAGTCTAATTTCGCATCCCATTTTTTTTTTGATAAGTCTAATTCCGCATCCTTAAAATACATCTAAGAAGAATCTAGTTATATGTTGTAGAGTCAGACTCTGATAGTTCCTTCCAATTCTTCTTTCTTACTTGTACTCCCAGTTAAGTTAATTTGCCGATTTGCCCCCCCTTTTTTTTAGACAATTTGTGGCTGGTCAATTTAATTGGATTACAATAATGTTTGCCCTGGTCTTGAAATGTCCGTGCACAAACTGGGGCTTCAAATACAGCAGTTCAATATTAAATCATGAATGCTTGGTTTTTACTCACTTTGTTATATTTATTCACATATATTAAAACAATGTATGTGGAGCCCGCTGCCTACTCTTGTGTGTCTTTTCTTAGAGTTTGATTCGTTTTGCTATTGCATTTCCAATTTAATATATATATTTTTTTTGTTATTAATTATAGTGTTGTTATTAATATGTTAGATGGATATGAATGTGGAACAATGCGGTGATAATCTCACAATTGAAGAAGTGGCTGAAGTTACGAATGATGGAAAATTGTTATGAGATGAGTCACTCATTGAAAAATTCATGAATATTATGGTGGAAGAAGTTAAGGCTAATAATCGTAGTGGCACAACATTTAGTAAAAGTGGTTGGAATAATTTGGTCAAAGAAATGAATGTTCAAACAGGGAGAAAATTTTCTTTAACCCAACTTTGGAATCAGTTTAATGGTTTGAGAAAAATTTATATCGAGTTTAAGAAATTATTATCGGAGACTGGCGTGGGATATAACCATGAGACGGGCATGGTTATAGTTGAGGAAGAGAGATGGGACAGGTTATGCAAGGTTAGTAATTTAATTATTAGTCCTAAATAAATAATAAAACCTTGTATATTATTGGCTATGTGATTAATATTGTGACAAAATTTGTAGGTTGTTGCGAATGCAAATAAGTTTAAAAGGCATGGATGTAAGCATTTTGACAAGATGTCGACTATATTTGGGGACACATATGCAACTGGGATGCATGCCCACCCGTCCACTACAGCACCCCCCGTAATCATTTTGCCCACTCCCAATGATGACGTTAATGAGGAAGGGGGTTGTGAGGTCAGTCCCCCACCTTTACGTAAAGGTAAGAAAGCCAAAAGAGATGCTTTATCTCCTGGTATAGCTGCACTCTTGTCAAACATGAATAAGAATTCTGAGAGGAGAGCCGAGAGAATGGAAGCTGCAATAAAGAAAGCAACTAAAGCATCTTCTACTTCTACTCGTGTATCTTCATGTGAGAAAAGAGATGATGAAGTTCTCTCTTCCTCTAAAAAGGATAGAGATTATGAAATGTTTGATGCCTCCATGCTCCTTTTACAAAAAATACCTGAAATTGAGATGGCCCAATTCGCTAAGGTATCGAAGTTATTACATGATTCTGAGAAGTGGCAGAAATTTTTTCTTTCGGCACCTGAGGATGTAAGAATTGGTTGGGCACTAAATGTTTGAGTTTTTCTTTATGGATAATTGTGTTTTGTGTCATCGTTTAACTTATTACTATCTCACATTTGGATGACTGTAATATCTTAAATACTTTTATTTCTTGGATGCCTGTTACTACTCAAATACTTTAATACCATTATTTAAATGTTTGTTATATTATTTAAATGTTTTTTTTATTATTGAATTGATTTGCTTATTAACTTAAATGTTTTGCTTGTATTAAATCTTTAAATAGGGCAATGGATATGTGGAACAATATAAGAAGAATAATTCAATTATATGACGATGAGGATGACAATGAGAGTGTCTTAATATTTGCTGCTATTTTAGAAGAGCAGAACTTCTATCAAAAGAGCCGTTGTAGGAATTTAATTTTACAAAGGGAAGCGTATGTTATGGAGATTCTAAACGGCCATAGAGAAAGATGTTATGAAAATTTTAGGATGTACCCTGAAGTTTTCAAACATTGTGTAGTACCCTGAAAGGTATAGGGCTGAAGGATTCTAAATTTTTAACTATATATGAACAAGTGGCAATCTTTTTGCTCACTTTATCTTATAATCAAAGGAATCGTGTTGTAGCAGAGAGATTTCAACACTCCACTGAAACCATTTCCAGACACTTCTATGCTGTGTTGCATGCAGTATGTCAGTTGGGCACCCATATCATTGCCCCTCCTGATTTTTCTATGATTCCGAATAAGATTAGAGGGTCTCCTCAGTTTTACCCTTACTTTAAGCATTGCGTTGGAGCTATAAATGGAACCCACATTACTGTAACTCTGCCAGTAGCTACACAACTTCCATTTCGTGGTAGAAAGGGTTATACCACACAAAATGTAATGGTTGTATGTGACTTTGACATGAGATTCACATATGTGCTAGCTGGGTGGGAAGGCTCTGCTAATGATTCGAGAATTCTAAAAGAGTGTATTGAGAACGAGGCAATGAATTTTCCAGCTCCACCACCAGGTATTATAATCTTACAATTTCACTTAATGTATGGTTAATTTATCATAGTGTATATATCTTTACGTATTCTAAACATTGCAGATAAGTATTATTTGGTGGACTCAGGGTATGCCAATAAGCTTAGTTATTTGGCCCCATTTTGAGGTCATACTTACCACTTTTAGGAATACCGTAGGAGTAGACCACCCCGTGGTCGGGAAGAAGTGTTCAATCATAGGCATTCATCTTTGAGAAACATAATTGAGCGATGCTTTGGGTTGTTGAAGATGAGATTCGCTATTTTGAAGGCAATGCCTCCTTATAAGTTTTCAACACAAGTATTGGTTGTAATGGCTTGTTGCACATTACACAACTTCATTAGAAATCAATATCAGCCTGATGATTTATTTGATGGTGACGATCCTCCTCAAAGTGATGGTGAAGACGATGAGATTGTTGAGCATGTGCTTCCGGCTCAGCTTCGAGAAATGGATCTGTTGCGTAATATTATTGCTAATCAAATCTGGAATTCTCTTGGGCACTCTTGATCTTCCTAAAACTGATGGTATGTTTTTTCTTTTATATGTAATATATTTGTTGCTTTTGTGGGCTTGTAATATGTATATATGTATTATATATCATTTTTGCTGTTATAATTTTGCTTTTATTATTACTGGCTGATATTGTTATTAATATTTTTCAAATTAAATTCTACCATTGCAGATATGAAGTGTGTTGATACTCTCTTGAAGGTGATGTGTGCTGTCATGAAGATGACATGTCCTACTATTGAAATTTGTTCCATGGAAGTGAAATTCGTGTTTTTTTAAGTATGTCTCCTGTAAAATCTTTTGAGTTTTTCTGATACCTTCCTAACAGTGAAGGAAAACATAAGGAAACATCTTTTTATTTGTTAAGCATCTTTTTCTTTGTTTTTTAATCCTATTGTTGAAATTTGTAAATGAATTGTGTTTGAACTTTGAATTATATCTCCTGTTTAATTTAATCTACTGTTTAATTTGTTCTCAATTTCTTTGTCAATTTTCCTAAAACAGAAGAATGAGTATGATTTGAGAAACTTCCTTGCAAGCTTCCATTCTAGCAGGGTGTTTTTTTTTTTTTTAATGACTCATTCATAGATGTTTTGTGAAGTTTGACTCCAAATAGATGGATTAGAAATGAAAAAGGTGATCTTAATATCTAGATTATAAGAACACTATAAAAAGATGGAACTCTACATGTCAAATTATATATATATATAAAAATATATATATATATATGTTTGTGTGTTCAAATTTCAATATATTTATTAATATATATATATACTATTTATATAGAAATAAATTTATAAATATATTTAAAATTTATAAAAATAAATTAAAAAATATGATAACCAAACATATTTTTTGTTTCTGTTTTATTTTTTTTTTACAACAGTTGAAGTTACCAAACATGTTTTGTTTTCAAAATTCTTGAAATGCATGGCTTACCAAACATGTTTTTCATGTTTCTATTTCCAACATTTCCAAAACAAAACATCATTCCCAAATGTACTTCCGATTTTTGCCAAAACACTTCAATAGTAAAAACGTTGTTTCTATTTTAGCCAAAAACAAAACAGTTAAAGTAAAACGCATGCCAAACGGGCCCTTAGTATGCTAGATCTACTTCTTGCATCTAATCTAACTTTAGAACAGTAAGTTGCTTATCTCTAGTCCTCTGCTATGGCCAAGGACCCCGTGATGATATCTTCACGTGCTCACGAAGTCCAACTATTTGCAATTTTCAATGCTTGAATGAAAGCGGTATTTACTTTTTCATTTTTAATTCTTCCCTTTTGATTTTTGTTTTTCATTTTTAATTCTTCCCTTCTTATTTTTCTCCTTTGATAACTTAACACTATATTTTGACCCACTTTATTTTTATATATTTCAGGTTCTTAAAAATTCAAGTCTCGGGTTGAGGATTTGCAACTTAGAGACTTATTTATCATCCATTCTTGGTTTATTTCAAAGTAGGACATTATTTTGTCATTTGTTCTTAGTATTATTTAATATGGGTTATCGGTTAATGGATTATGGTTAAGGGGTTCTTGAATTATGGGATTCCCAAGTTATACCTTTTGAAAAATTAATAGTAGTGGAATTATTATCTATTAGAAATTCTTTCAATGATTTATTTATTTTATCCTCTTTGAAATCCGTGCTTGTTAAATATTAATTTTTTTAATATCCTTGTTTTTTTAGCGTGGACTTGATCAACCCATATCTCTGAAATTAGGGGATATCACAATGAATTGGTTCTTCACTTTTCAAAACACTTAAACTTACTTCACACTTAAGTGAAGTACCTCAAAATGATAAGTATACTAAAAAGTGTCTGTAGTGACTGCACAACAACAATGACATTAGGTTTTTACAAGGAAAATCTCCCTTAACTAGAGATCAAAAACCTTGATTCCTGGCTTAACCAGTGTGAATCCACTAGTTGTGTTGTAAGATGATACACACCCAGATGTCTCACACTCTGCACACCCTTGTACAAGTTGAAATTCTAGCTTTCTCATTCTTTGCACGCACACACACTTTAGCTCACCTTTATGCATACTGCACTCCCCCCATCCTAACCACCCTTTTTTGGACCTCTTGAGCTCACACAACTCTTCAATTACATGAAAACCTATATAACTATATCATACGATAGGGTTTTACAAATGATAGGATTGAATACACATCTCAAAGATGAAAACACTTGAAGCCCTAATTCAACTTCTGTAGAATCTGAGGTTTGAGATGTCAATTCACAAATAACTAACTTGCCTTGTAGATACAAAATCATAAACAACCTCTGCATAGCTCAGAACATGGCATGCACAGTCTCAATACATCAAAATAGACTTACTCAACGGATAAAATCAATGATACTAGCAAGGTAGGTCAATTATTAGCTCAGATTAGAATCAAGTTTCAGCTCAATTTCTTAAACAGTGTTCAAGCCTTTGTGATTTCTTCAGAAATGAGGTTTAAACTGTCAAATCCAATTTCAGATTCAAATTGGACTTAAAATAAATTCTCCCAGACTTCTCTTAACAAGATACACTTGCATAATGATACTCACAAGAAAATATATCTAGGGAAGGCATGCCATTTATGTAATATACTTGAGCATACTAGGTATAAAGGATCAAAATCAGGAATAACTCTTGCACAACTCAGAACCCATCATACACTTACTTCAGGATAACAAAATAAACTTGCTCAAGTAGAAACCACAATTAACACAACAAGATACAACAATACAAACTCTGCTTAAGACTCAAATTCTGCTGAAAACCCTAACTAGCTGGTATAAAGTGTCAAGATCAGAAATGGTCAATTTTCAGCTCAGACCTTTACTTGCACATCCTCAAAATAGTATAGTCATTTAAATGATAAGCATAACAACAATATCAAGTAACAAACAGTAGCAATGCATCAATAAATTAGCTAAAATTGAGTATATTAGTAGCAATGCACCAATAAATTAGCTAAAACTGAGGTTTGAGAACTCATAATGAACTGCAGTGAACAAATAGGAAATAACAAGTTTTATTTTATTGGATACAAAGGGTGTTTAACCATCAAAAGGAAAAAAAAAAAAGGAGAAATTGATGATTATTTGTTTTAGGACTCAATTTGTAGAGCATAAGCAGTGGCAAAGCTACATTGGGACCAGTGGAGGTAATTGCCCCCACTGAAATTTTATTTTATTTGTATTTTTTACACATAAATTTTAATAATTGTAAAAGTGCCCTGCTAAACTTTTAAAATATTCATAAAAAAAACCTTTAAAAACTTACAAAAGTCATAATAATTCTTAATTGTTTTTTTTTTTTTTTTAACTCATTTGCCCAACAAATTTTTCAAAATTTAGAAAAGATCTATGTTTCAGAATCAAAATTTAGAAAAGACTCCTCATTTGCTAAATATTGACTTTTCTTTTATTTGTATTTTCTATATGCAAATCTTGATAATTATAAAAGTTGCCCAAATTGAGCTCCTAAAAAATTCAATAAAAAAAAACCCTAAGAAAAACAACCAAAATTCACAGAGCCCTCTCATTTTTTTTAAATCATTTGCCCCACAAAATTTTAAAAATTTAGAAAAGATCCACGTTTTTTCTCCTCTCGGCTTCGCAAAATTTGAAGAATCAAAATACAGAAAGAATATCACCGTTGCTATTTATAAGTATTATTTTGGTTCAAAATTTTCTTATCATATTGATGGTTGCCCCCACTAAACTAAATTCTTAACTCCCCCACCGTATGTAAGTGTGGTGATTATCAAGTCAACAGAGAAAGTTAATTGTATTTGGGTATGTGGACACACATGTTTGTGTTGGGAAACGTGCAAGATTTAAAAACTTTTCGAGGGATTTTAATTCATAGATCTTGATTCATCACATAGAGATAAGTTTTATGCAAAAATAAAACATGATGTATCATTCAATTAAAAGATTGAATACTTACATCAAGGTTTGAGTAAACCTTAGATCTCTCCTCTAAAGTGAATGTTCTCACTTATTGTAGATCCCTTTTGCTAGACACCTTTTCCATGGATCTCCATCTTCTTGGTAATGGTCTTGCCTTTAGGAATCACTCATAAGCCTCCATGAATGACCTTGGAAAATTAGTCTTGTGGGAGCCTCCATTAGATGAGAACACTAACCCTAATTTTCTAGAGAGAGAAAATTTATTTCTTTTTCCTTCTCATAAAAATCACCCCCAAAATATACATAGACCATGTATATATATAGGCAACATAAAGATAAGGAAAAGAAAACTATAAATCTTTCTCAATTTCTAATTCACATATCTCAAATCTAATATGATTCCAATATCAAATTGGGCTATGACTGAGAATCCTTTGGGCTTATTATTTTTATTGGCTACAATGAATTAATAATTGGCCCGGTCTATGGACCCAATTAAATTAATTCATAAATTAATTTCTACTCCACTAAAAGAAATTAATTGAACTCCAATTAAATAATTAATAACCTCTAAGTCAATGTTGCACTTTGACCCCTCTATGCATAATTAGTTATCGGATAAATAATGCCATCAATCCGACTACTTAATTAATATATTTATTTTGGTATCTTTGATTATTTTTGGCTTGATCACAATAAAACATTTGTTTGACAAAAATAATAATTTAAATAAACAAATATATAATAAATCATTTTGCCTAAAAACACACGAAGGCCTTCGAATTTACTTTGTGATCAACCATAATCAATACAAAATAAATACAAGTAGCAATGGTGCAAATATCGAAAATATAACCCTCTAACTATTAATTACATAACTACCCAAAGTGTCGGTCTAAGGATCCCGAAGAATCCGCCAAACAAATCAAAGTAATTATTAATTAATAAAAGAGTCTATAATTTTCTCATGCTTAAGAGTCAAATGCCATGACGGTGATAGGGAGCAATTGCATACGACGGCTCTCGCAATATATCTCAACTTAACGCAGATCCAGTTCAAATCTAATTTAATTATGAG